GTTGGGTTGGTGTGCTGCTAAACGTGCATATGAAGGCAGAGAGAAACAAAATGCCACGTTCCGATGACCACTTTAAAGGAGGCCGGCCTGGTTCATGAATCGGGCAAGAGGGCTCGGCCCAGATTTCCCGTTGGCAGCCCGACCGGTCGAAACCAGTTCCAAGGGGCCACGTGGCTCCCTTTCATATGGGAGTCGCGTGCATTTTCCCAGGCTGCCCTTTGGAACCAGTCATGTTGTCACGGGGTCAATGGAATAATGACACAGGTCAATAGCGTCTTTCGCATAGGTCAAAATTCAGTGCCGTGTTTTCATTAAAAATAAAATAGTGGAAAATTACAAAGATAATAGTTTTTGGCTTGGGGTAGCATAACCTAACGCAAGCATACGGTGAGCCTTGTTAATAAGTACGAGTCATATTGAGGTTGCTTCTCGAGTTGCGCAAGGGAGGGAGTGAGAGGGAGAGCGGGTGGTGGCACGGAGGGAAGGGTTCTAACGCCACGGAGCCGCCTTTGCTCTCGCACCATTGGCACGGGTGGCGAGCCGCATTGGCACGGGTGGCGAGCCGCGTTGGCACGGGTAGCGAGCCGCGTTGGCACGGGTAGCGAGCCACGTTGGCACGGGTAGCGAGCCGCGCTCCTGGAAGAGCCTGGTAAGGCTCATTTCTGGCTTCTAACGATGGTGGAAACGCAGCATCAGTGCGAGGGGGAGGGACGGATCATCCTGAAAGCTGTCATCGCCCTCTCCCTGCTGTCTACTGCTGCATTTATCTAATCTATCTAAAAACTCAACACACTCTGCAACACTGTGGTTTTAAAATGAAAAAAAAAATAGGCAACGTTTTGGGTAATGACCCTTCTTCATAACACGTGAATAGTTAGGTGAGAAGAAAGATGGAGTGGACGATAAGTGTTGTACACTGCACTGGTTTACACCATGGAGCCTGATGAGAATTACATTTTTAGAAAAAATTCTGATAACTCAGTTTTATAAATTGGTCTATGAACAGTTATCTAACAATATATATTTAATCACAGGCAAACACCATTTTAACAATCACAAACCCGTCAATAATCACAAACGCATCGCGCCTAAAACTCCTTTACATTCGAAGTAAAATGGTGAAAATGTTGCTGGCACAGTGCATTGTGGGAAGGTTTGCTCTTGTGAAGACATGTCAGGCGGTAACCCCACTGCTGGTGGATTCCTGGGCCCAGTCACTGTGATTGCAACAGGAGGAATTTCACCGCCATTCGTATCTGAGGCAGAGACGGTTTGTGGAATTAATTGTGGGGTAGAACTATTCAACTATTTCCTGTGCACAAGTACAGTTTTATGTTGTTAAAGAGCATAAATCATGATGGAAACTCTGGTCATCCTCGCAGCACCGGCTTTTGGCTAACCATCGAACAAAGACGGTCACTGCATCGCGTGCTTTCAGATGACCATCTGCGGCCGTCTGGAACGCTCTTCCTTCCGATATTAGGAAGCCCCAGGAGTTATGCACTTTTAAATAATCTAGATTGAAAACTCTTTCTTTACAACTACTTTTGTTTTGTTATTGGCAAAGGAGGTCTCATAATGTAAATGCTCACCCCGAGCCCTCAATACTCTGATAGTGCGCTGTTTTTGAGTTGTACGCCTTTTGGCGTCTTCTGGTCCAACACCAATGGAGACTAGGCTCTAAGAAAAGCCGTCTCGGGTGTGGACCAATCAAATTCAAGGACAGTGCATATTATTATTATCAGAGTTGTCTTTTTTGTTTGCATTTTAACTGCTTGTGTTGCGGTTATTGCAAACATGATGCCTTGAATAAAGGTGTCAGTTTTTGTGCCAGTTAAAAGGGTAAAACCTATTCCTACAACTACTTTTTGTGTTCAGTTTGTTGTCCCTCCCCCGCACCTCCGACTCGCATGGTTGTCTCCGGGCCACTTGACTCGAGAGTTTGGTCAACCTTTATTTTTACCACTCGAGTCGTCGTTCCTGCAGTGCATTTCGAATATTTGTTTTCTTCTCAACTCCGGTTGGGATGTGGATTTGTGCTACGGCCTCACTTGACGGGCTGGCTCGAGTTCCCTGCCACGCCAGAATCGCGGGCCATGAGGGCACAAAATGTCACCCGACACGATCACTCCCTTGTTTATCTTTAGGAAACGTGGCTCATTTGTTTTACAGAATACATCCATGGTTTGACATGTGACTAGAAGAACGCCGTCGTTAAATTTACCCTCCCACATCCTTGCCCAGAGTCTAAGTGTCCCTGCCTCCCCTCCTCCCCTCCCTCCAGCCAGCCACCCAGGCATGAAAACCTTCTTTTTATTCTCTCTTATGGCTGATGTGGATGCAGAGGAACAACTACAATTTTACATTCATGTGGTCAAGCCAGATAACCGCGTCAGGAGCAGCGAAGTGTATCATCATGGCTGTGATGTCTCCTTCGTATTTGTGGATCGGGGCATTACGTCGTTATACGTTGTGCGGTCTGTTTTGAATGACCACAGTCGCACACTGGAGAGTTTTTAATTTTCTGTTTGTGCGTCAGGTATCTGCATCTACTGCCATGGTTTGTGCACCGGATACGGTGTGCACCATGAGCTTCGTGGAAGATTAAACCAAGGGATTTTCTGCGTTGTGTATTTCACGATGTGTTTTGTTGTGAGTTATTTTGAACTCCATTCAGCCCTGCAAGCTTCATGCGGGTTTAATTTGCATGTATTACAGCATGATGACATTGCACACATATGCGAATTTAGGCAGGCAGGAATCCAGCCCAATATGATTTAATAATTTACATTTAATGTTGCTAAATGAACGGCGGCCTTGCAATTTTGTGCGCAGGCATTTCTGATATTATTTTATTTTACCAGGTAAGGCCCACTGAGTTATGTAGCTCTTTTTCAGAAGCGACGTAGCCACAAAAGATAGCTCAACGAAGTGGCTTATTACGTGGACATTTATAGCAGCAAATACTCTAAAACTCATTTTTCAAAATGTGGAGGGAAAACCCGGAGGACCCGGAGAAAAATCCACAACAACCACTGGGAGAGAGACACGCAAACTCCAAACACACAGCAGGCGTCAGGGTCGGGATCGAACCCACGACTTCCTGTATCCCAGGCGTGGTAGTTAACATCTCTGAACCACCGTGGCGCCCAGCGCCGCCCCTGACTCACCTGATGGCTCTAGTCCGTGGGAGCGTTGTGGAAGCGCCCACCCCCTTTTCATTTCAGCCAACTCCAGTCGCCCCTTCGGCTCGAATTCGGGGGGAGAGAGATCTGACCCAAAGTCAGGCTGAATCGGGGCAACTGGAGACAATTGGCGCTGTCTGTTCCGTGGGAAATTAGGTAAACGATGATGAAAGAGCCCACGCGGGCGGCGGATGTGCATGTGTGCACGTGTGCTTGTGTGAGTGAGCGTGTGCGGGTGTGTGCGCGTGTGTCTTTGTGTGTGCGTGTGTACGCGCGTGCGTGTATGCTTGCATGTCTTTGTGTGTGTGTGTGCACGTGCGCCGTGCAGGGATGTGACCTTGAGGAGGTCGTATCCGAGGTTAGTGGCAGCCTCCAGAGCTGAAAGTTTGGTGAACCATCGCTCTGAAGCTCACGCTCCATTTGCAGTTTCCCAATGAATAAACGCTTCGCTTTTCTCTCCCCCCTTTAAAAAAATACGGGGAAGCGAGCTTCGTTTCATCGGCGCAAAACAGAACCCGCTCCAGCGTGTTGGTGCGTCTGTGTACACACGTGTGGGGTAGCGGTAGTGTAGCGGTTAGCGCGCTGCGCTGCGAACCTGGCGACCCGGGTTCGATTCCCGCTCACGGCCAACACCAGTGACGATTATCTAAACCGGTACCGGGCCTCCCCTAGGTCGACTCAGCCTCTAATTAAGTACCTGGTGCGGTGTGTAAAACATCGCCACTTGGGAGACAAAGGCGGCCGGGCGTGGTGCTGGCCACCGACCTCCTTGTGTGCCATGCCGGCCTTCATAGGTGCTCGCTAACAGCACTTGCTCCTACAGTCTGTTCAGGCTATACGGGGATCTTTGTCTTTGTACACACGTGGGGGTGCAAGTGTCTTTGTGCACACGCGAGGAGCGGTAGTGTAGCGGCTCGCACGCTGCGCTACGAACCCGGGGACCCAAGTTCGATTCCCGCTCACGGCCAACACCAGTGACGATTAATCTTCACTGGTGCTGGGTCTCCCTTAGGTCGACTTACCTTCAAATGCGGCCTTGAGTGATGTTTACCACCCACCCCCTCGTGTAGCATTGTTGCCCTTCATAGGTGCTCGCTAACAGCGGGATCTTTGTCTTTGTATGCGCACGTGAAGAGCAGTGGCCCAGTGGTTAGCGCGCTGCGCTACAAACCCGGTGACCCGAGTTCGATTCCCGCTCACAGCCAACATCTGTGCTTCATATCTGAACCACTCCTGGGCCTCCCCTAGGTCAACTTAGTCTTAAATGAGGACCTTGTGCAGTGTGTCAATGTATGCAATGGGGAGACAAAGGCGGTCTGGCGTGGTGTGGTGCTGGCCATAGACCCCCTCATGTGCCGTGCCGGCCTTCATAAGTGCTCGCCAACAGCAGTCTAACTATTTAACTAATTTTACACCAGGTAGGCCCACTGAGCTATGAGAGCCCAGACGCGACCTGGCCACAAATGAGAGCCCAATGAAGTCACAAGTGGCTTATCAATGTGGAAATTCACAGCAGTCAAATGCTCTAAACGCATGTTGATTCTAAACGTGGAGGGAAAAACCGGAGGACCTGAAGAAAATTCCACATGACCATTGGGAGAACATGCGAACTCCCAGTACACAGCAGACGTCAGGATCGGGATCGACCCCAACGACAGGAGGTATACCGGATGAAGTAGCTAACATCTCACCACCGTGGTTTGCCCTATACAGCAGGCGTCAGGGTTGGGATTTAAACCATCGACCTCCTGTATACCAGGTGAGGTAGTGAACATCTCACCACCGCAGCAATCTTTGTCGTTGTCTGCGTGTTAGCTGTGTGGGGCGGAGTGGCCACGGCGAGCTGGGAGAGTTCACGGTGCTGCACTGCCTCACCGGCTGGATCCCTGAAGTCATCCCTCTACGGTGAGCGACAGCCGCAGGACACTGCGTGTGGGTGGGTCCGTCACTCACCCCACTTATTCGCTCACTCACTAATTCAGCCACACACACGGCCACTCACTCACTTAGCTGCTCACTAAAACCATCAGTTGCTCAATCACTTGTTTGCTCACTCGCTCGCTTGCTCACTCACTCACTAGCTCACTCAGCCACTTACTCGGCTAGCCACTCACTCGGTCACTTACTCACTCCCATCCTCACACACTCATTCGCTTCTGAACTCACTCGGCTACTCATCCACTCACTCATTCATCCATCGAGGGCAATGTATAAAATTATATTGATCCAGGATCATCGCTGGACATGAAAAAATGTACGCAGTCATTGGTGATCAGTCTGAGCTCATCAACTCAGTACACTTGAGGACAACCGGTTTCAATCACGGGCAGTGGCCCAAAACTCGGATTCGAACCCAGGGTCTCAGCGTTGCCGGCTCAGTGCCTCTGACCTTTGAGCCACCCAGCCACCCCTTGTCCTTCCTGTGAATGCCTTCCAAACAAGGTTCAAACGGTTGACGCTTGAGCTCCATCCGTCTGTCACACTGTGCGTCTGTAACGGACCACATCCTCCTGAAAATCAGCGCTGTGCCTCTTTTCATGGGATGGCTCTCGGCTGGGCTCACTGGGTAATTCCCCATGCCATTTGCACGGTGGCACAAATTCACGAGCGTGGTGTGCGCTGACATTTAAGGCTATATTTACATCTTGCAGAGGAGCCTGCAAGCACCAATCAGGAGTAATCAGTGTAACTTGGCACACGTTGTGTCTGCCCAGCATCACAAAAACAACAACAAGGACAGCAAAAACAGGGCTCGTGTCCTGGTAAAGATTTAAAGCGATGTTGAATGTCAATTATGATGCAAACTGAGTGCTTTTCGTGATGGAAATGTGAGTGAATTATTTGACCGAACGGCTGACTGACTGATAGAATGTCTATCTTACTGGTTGACTCACTGATTAACTGACTGATTCAGCAACTGACTGACTTAACAAATTAACAACCAACTGACTTCAATACTGGCTGCTTGATTATTTTATCCACAGACTAATTTGCCAAGCTTGCTGAATCCTCAGGTGAAATAATTGACTCCTTAATTAACGGACTGATTGACTAATTATTTGACTGAATAACTAACTTAATGTTTTTCTGACTGATGGCCTAATTGTCTTACTCTCTGACTGGCTCACTGCGTGCCTGATTGTCTGACTGATTGCTTACGTGACTAATTGCCTCATTCGCCCAACTGACTTACTGCATTGCTGGCTGATTTTTCTCATCGTCCATTGTCCGACTGTCCCGACCGTCTGTCTGCCTGTCCGTCTAACCGGCCGATGGGCCATCTAACGAGTCTGCCCCTTGCCTTTGCGCGCGCCCGCCCACCCACCCGCCCGTCCGCCCACCCGCCCCAGGGCAGCCCACGCTGCCCGCGTTTGGGGCCTTCTGCGGGAGCTGCTGCCCGAATTTCGCCTGCCCCCGGAGGACGGAGTGGGGGCTCGCCCAGAGGAGCACGCGACCCCGGGGGTCCCGGCGGAGCCGGCGATCGAAGAGCCCCCGCCGGCCGCGGCGGCGGATCCCGGTCCCCCCAACCCCACGGCCGAGCCCCCCGCGATGGCGCACGGCAAGGACTGCAGGAAGGAGGCGCCCCCCAAGGCCGCCGAGCGTGGGACGCCAGCCGGTGGGTGCGGGATGGAGGGGGCTGAGCCATCGTCGTTTCGTTCCGAGTTGGAGCGCGTGCGGCCCGCGGTCGCTTCCGTCGCGATGGTTCCGCGCGTCATTATCTCGATTCAAGAAATGTTTCTGCTGCTGGCCACTTGGCATCTTGGGCCCCAGGGCTGCCTGCTCTGAGATGCGCAGCGTGAGAGGCGCAGGATGAGTAATGAATGGCGACGATGATTTTCAGCGGATCGGACGTGACAGCCGAAAGTTATCATTGTGCGTGTTTGCCCAGCCTCGCAGAGCCTCATGACTCTTTTTCAGGAGGGTCCAGTCGCAGCCGATGATTGCGCTGTAGATTCTACGTGAGTTTTTATTTTAAAGAGAAAACGCTGCAGCAGTGGGCTGTGCATTCAGCAGATAGTAAAAAAAAAAAATGCTCTAAAATAATCTCGAAATGCGGCAATGAGACTATTATTTATTATCATATTTAAAATTGCAGTCTGTGCACAGGCTGTTTATCAAAGAATGATACGTGTACGCGCATTCTGTTTTTGTGCCATGCATATCTGTCTCGAGTGCTATCACGCATGAAGGCGCTGCTGTGTTTAGTTTGTTGTCCTTCGTCCGCTCCTCCAATTAGCACGGTTGACTACGTAAGGCGCGAAAGAAGTTTAACATTCATACGTGCTGCGTGTCACGGACACCGTCTGGAGTAGTTTCACAGCAGGGGACGACGTTGCTGCTCCGGGTTATCCCAATTTGAGTAATTTGCGGTCTGTGTAATTGTTCAAATTTGGCTGATTTGGCCCATCACGCCGTCACACACCAAGCCTACTCTTTTCGGATGGCGCCGCGGGAGCTTTTAACGTCCGCTGACGCAGGAGACCGCGCGCGGGTGGTATTATTTAAAGTTTTTTTGTTGTTGTCAGGGATGCGACGCTCATTCGTGACACAGGGGAAACCTTTAATGAGAACCGCGGTAACTTTTTACTTTACGGTTAATACACAGTATTAACCAGGGTGGCCCGCCGGATTTAAACCGCGAACCTCTGGTAGTGGAAGAGAACGGAGGGAACCCCCCCCCCCCCCCCCCCCCCCAGGTGACCCGGTGCTCGCTGTCGCTTCCGCAGACAGGACGGATGGGAAGGAGGGCGGCCGACGGAAAGGGAAGGACGTGGAGAAGGAAAAGAGGAGGGCTGCACCTTCGGAATCTGTGTCGCCAGTTGTCGAAGGTGGGAGCTTGTTCGTGTCGTGCCTTTGTTTTGCATGTTTAGCCATAAGTACGTGTGGTTAATGCGCTCATTATTTCCTTGCAAGCATCTTAACACCTGTTTCATTGGCAGAAAGGGTATGGACCTGTTCGCATACTTAACGTTGTACGTTCAACTTCTTTCACATCGTCATGCGTGAGGCCAACCGTGTTAATCAGAGGTGCCTCTCGCACCGCGCGCCGCACCATGCCCCCGGAGTGCCGGCATGTAAATGACGCGTACGTACACGGCGATCCATTTACAGACACTCCGCCGATTTCTCAATGACCCCTCTTGTTTTTTAACATTTCTTTAAATGGCTGATTGATCATTGTGAAGGCGATTGCTTCGTATCTTACAGAGGAGAGGCACGAAGAGATATAATAATTCATCGTAAAGCACTGTTTTCATTCTCTTTTCTCCCTGCTGTTGTAATGGGGGTGTCTATGATCGGACCACGCCGTCCCGCAAAATACGCGTACGCACATTAGCCACTCCCCGCTCTTCCATTTGATTCGAGAAACCACGTCGACTCTCGTCGCTTACAACGGTGAGAGCGCCGTTTGTTGTGAGTCACCCCGACGTTTTGGGACTTCAGGCCTTGGTGGCGAGATGTTACCTCCCTCGCCTGGCATACAGGAGGTCATGGGTTCGATACGTACCCTGACGCCTGCTGTATATTTGCAGTTTTGCATGTTCTCCCCATGGTCGTGTGGATGTTTTCTACGGGTCCTCTGGTTTTTCCCTCCGCATTCAGAATCGACATCACGCTTTTAGAGAATTTGGCTGCTGTACATTTCCACGTGATAAGCCACTTCGTTGAGCTATCATTTGTGGCCATGTCGCTTCTGAATAAACTCCTTAAAAAAGTTTTTTTTTTTAAAACAACGGTTTTATTAACAACTTCGTTTAACTCACGGTCGAGAAGTTCGTCAATGGCGCTTGAGTCACGTGGCGCCTGAGTCACGTGGGCGCCTGAGTCACGTGGCGCCTGAGTCACGTGGCGCTTGAGTCACGTGGCGCCTGAGTCACGTGGCGCCTGAGTCACGTGGGCGAGGCGATTCCAGAGTTTAAGGACCGCGGCGTTTTTGACCTCACCGAAATAAATATTGCATTAATAAGCCGTCCGTACAAAATGTTAATTGCTTTAAAAGAGCCAATTAATTGATTAAGTGATGCCGATTTTGATACATGCATGCATTGTCACCGGATCTGAGTAGGTGTGCAAATTTTTTTAATTAATTGGACAACGCGAAGTAGACTAAATGTTGATTACAAGATTTGACCACGACAAACACAAGTGAAGTTAACGCTGTCCTCTGGACAGTCCGGTCCCTTCACCTGATGAAGGCCACTTGTGTTGTGGCCGAAACGTCGTGATTTTTGTTGTTTTATTTTTTACCTACGTGACTTTACCGAATAGAACCAAAGAGTATGGATCCTTGCAGTCACGAAAGCTTCAAATCTAGAAAAGTTAAATAAAACCGTTGAAAAAGAAGTACATAGCTCAGTGAGCCTTACATGGTAATATAACAATAGTTTATTTGCGTGCCAGATTTCCCGACTCTCTAACTGCCGAATTGCCTCATTGCCTGTCTGAACGTCTGACTCAATCAGAATGGGAATATTTATTAAGACTGCAGGACGAATCCGATTATGAACGTTACAACAACAACAAACAATACAAAAAGAAAATAGGAGTGCAAAGTATAGGAATGTTAAACAAATCACTTAAGTAAAACTAAACTTTTCATCTTAGCAGGTAAAGCCCACTGACCTGTTAACTTATTTTTCAGAAGCAACCTGGCCACAAATGATAGCTCAACGAAGTGGCTTATCACGTCGAAATTTTTAGCAGCAAAATAATATAATCTCGATGCTTGTTTCTAAATGTGTCGCGGGCTAACCGTTTTACGGATTATCTAACTTTCACACCGACTTATTACCTGACTCTCGCATCTCTCTGACGAGCCGGTGGCTTGTCTATCCGTCCATCTGCCTGACCGACTGATTTTCTGACTCTCCGAATGACTGACTGTTTCCCTCCAGAGAGATCGAGCGCTAACTTTCCCACGTTGCCCGACAAGCCGGAGGTGGTGGTGTTCGCGAGCTACAGGTGTCCAGCCAGCGCCAGCGAAAGTTTCTCTGTGCTGGGCAGGATGGTGAGTGTCAGTGTGCGTGTATGTGTGTATGTATGTATGTTGCGGGGGGGCGGTAGTGCAGCGGTTAGTGCAGCGGTTAGCGCGCTGCGCTACAAACCCGGCAACCCGAGTTCGATTCCGGCTCATGCCTAACACCAGTGAAGATCGGTCCTGGGGCTCCCCTAGGTCGACTCAGCGTCAAATAAGTACCTGGTGCGGTGTGTAAACATCACCACTAGGGATACAAATGCGGCCGTGTGTGATGTTTGCCACCCACCCCCTCGTGTGGCATACCACTCCCCCAACAATAACAACAACTGCCATTTGCCACAAAGTGGTGGTGACGTCACCACGGCGTTTGTATCAGGCTATGTGAACTTTTCGTGAAATGTCGAAGAATGCCCGCTGGAAGGTCACGGGACATACCGCTCCCCCCCCCACCCACACGCACAAAGACAAAGATCCCCGTACGGCCTTAACAGACTGTAGGAGCAAGTGCTGTTAGCGAGCACCTATGAAGGCCGGGACGGTACACGAAAGGGGTGGGTGGCCATCACCACGCCCGACCGCATTTGCCTCCCCGTTGGCGATGTTTACACACCGCGCCAGGTACTCATTTGAGGCTGAGGCGACCTAGGGGAGGCCCAGGACCAGTTAAGATAATCGTCACTCGTGTTGGCCGTGAGCGGGAATCGAACCCGGGTCGCCGGGTTCATAGCGCAGAGCTCTAACCGCTACACTACCGCTCTCCACACGCACACACACAAACACGAACGAGCAGGCGGACGCGGCCCAGAAGCTGCGGGAGGCCGGCCTCTCCCCCGTGTGCCCGCACCTCCTCCACGTGAGCCGCACTCGCAGCTCCCCGCTCGTGCCGCCCCCGCGTTCGCCACCCGTGCCGCCCTGGAAGCTCGTGCGGCCACGCAAGAGCAAGCCCCTGCCACGTGACGAGCCCGAAGGTTAGACGGCGGTGATGGTGGAGGTGGTGGTGGGTGGTGTGTTGGTGGAGGTGGGGTGCACAGGTGGTGCATCTGTCAGTCATTCGTTGGTCAACCTATAACACCTGGGTCTGTCCCGTGACATACCTCTGTGTTCTGGGTGAGTTACGGGACAGACTCATAACACTTCGTTCGGTCTCGAGGTGCACCTAGCCTGGCACACGCGCCATGATGATGTCACGGCGACTTAGTGGCGAACAGCGGTTGTTGGTGGCGGAGGTGGTGATAATGGCGGTAGTCGTGGTGGTGTTGGTGGTGGTGGCGGAGGTGGTGATGGTCGTGGTGGTCGTGGTGATGAGGGTGGAGGTGATGATGGTGATGGTCATGGTGGTGATGGGATTCTGCGTCTCTTCATCAAGTGCCTCAACTCCCTCCCTGTCCTGTTGAACCCTCCCCATTCTATGGCCTCCTGTTAAATATAAAAAGTATTTTCCAACTCTCTAGACAGCATGTTGGCACCTGTTTCTACATCGTCATAACATGATCACGGCCAACACCAATGATGATCGTTTTAGCCAGTCCTGGGTCTTCCCCTAAGTTGACTCAGCCTCAAATGAGTACCTGATACAATGTTTTAACATCGCCATTCAGGAGTAAAATGCGGCCAGGCGTGGTGCTGGCCACCCACGCCCTCGTGTGCTGTGCCAGCTTTCGTAGGTGCTCGCTAACAGCACTTGCCCCACGAGTCTGTGAAGGCGAGAAAGGAGATCTGTGGTGAGGTGGGTTTCACTCGACTAGCTTTTCGCCAGTCATCCCCCACTTCCTTTCCACCATCTTACGTGAGTGAGGCTTGGCTCCTGACGCGCTCAACGGATCTTTTTTCCAAAGCCCTCTTTGTCAGTGAAAACGTTCTGATCCTTGCGTCATAGCAGGGAACGTCATCACCATTGCAATCATCATCCATACCCATTTTAGCATTTTGGTGACCCAGTTTACTCTTGAAAATCAGACTCATCTGCTAGATTAAGGCTTGCGAACGGGCAGGTGATTGACCGGGCCTCTGAGGGTGCGAGTGAGATTGTGAACGGGTGTGTGGGTGTGCGAGTGGGTGAGCGAGCGAGCGAGTGCGGGTGTGAGCGAGCGGGCGAGCGAGCGAGTGAGCGAGCGAGTGTGCATACGAATGAGCCGGCGAGTGAACGATCGGGTGAGCGAGCGAAGCGGGCGGGATGCCTGCAGCGAGACGGGCCCTGACGAATCGCTGAACGGTCCCCAATTGTCACTGCCTCCGCTGCCTGCGACGTAGCAGCAGCAGCAGCAGCTGACGTGTCGTCGCTCGGCCGTGCGCCAGCCGTCCGTCACCGGCGGGCGCACGGCTCTCACCGCGTAACCAATCGGTGCAATTTCAACCCCCGCTGGCACTCATTTACGCGTTAAATTGCCCGGCAGGTGAGCTCCGGGGGGATTTGGACACCGGGGCCGAATCACCGATGCGCATGAGATAGACGCGGCTGCCCCGGAGATCGTCGCTCCCTCCACGTGATATTTGGGAGAGGGGAGGGGCGGCGGTGGCGGTGGCTTCCTCGTGCTAACCACGACGATGTCTTACTCTCGCCCTCTCGCCCTCTCGCCCTCTCGCCCTCTCAGCCTCTCAGCCTCTTGCCCTCTCGCCCTCTAACCCTCTTACCCTCTCACCCTCTCGCCCTCTCGCCCTCTCAGCCTCTCAGCCTCTCGCCCTCTCAGCCTCTCACCCACTCAGCCTCTCGCCCACTCACCCTCTCGCCCTCTCACCCTCTCGCCCACTCAACCTCTCGCCCTCTCAGCCTCTCGCCCTCTCAGCCTCTCGCCCACTCAACCTCTAGCCCTCTCGCCCTCTAACCCTCTTACCCTCTCACCCTCTCGCCCTCTCGCCCTCTCAGCCTCTCGCCCTCTCAGCCTCTCGCCCTCTCGCCCTCTCAGCCTCTCGCCTTCTCAGCCTCTCGCCCTCTCAGCCTCTCACCCACTCAGCTTCTCGCCCTCTCAGCCTCTCACCCTTTCAGCCTCTCGCCCTCTCGCCCTCTCAGCCTCTCGCCCTCTCGCCCACTCAGCCTCTCACCCACTCAGCCTCTCACCCACTCAGCCTCTCACCCTCTCGCCCTCTCAGCCTCTCACCCACTCAGCCTCTCACTCACTCAGCCTCTCACCCACTCAGCCTCTCGCCCTCTCAGCCTCTCGCCCTCTCAGCCTCTCGCCCTCTCGCCCCCTCGCCCTCGTGCTCCGCTGTACATTCGGTGCCGGTTGAGTGGCGGCTTGTTTTTTCCCGGCAAAACCCCGAGTTAGTGGCGGGGAATTGTGCTGCCCCCCTACTTGTCTCTTAGCAGAGGTCACTTGAAATGATCTTCAGAAGTATCAGAATCTGAATAATTACTTATGCAGGAGACAAATCCGATGAGTTTTAAAGCTCTTTTGAAGGCTCTATTTCACAGTCGTCCAGGAAGTAGTTCTGTGATATATGCTTCCACGGGCTGTTTTCCAACATGAGGGGGCGGTGGGGTAGGGGAGGGGGTAGGTAGTGCTGCTCTGCGAGATTCTTTGTCTCGTGGAAATGAATACACAGGTAAGAATAATCATAATGCCTTGTATTTACCCAATAAAACTGAGTCTCGAGACGTGTTTTTTTGCGAGGGTCCTGCCACGCCGGGATGTTTGGCCAAATTCATTAGTGATGAGTGTTTGGCTTTGTGTGGGAGCAAACTGTAAAACCCGGAGAAAAGCCACTCTAGAGGAGCCTCAATCGTCAATCCGTTTGGATAATGAAGTGAATTCCACCTTCTCATATTTGTATTGTCACACAAAACATGAAAGTATATTTCACACATCCCATCAGCCGCACAGCCTCCTGGAAGTGCATCTTTTTAGCAGCATTGGCTAACCTTAGACCCCGGTTTCGACATTCAATGTCTCGTCAGCTTGCTTGAACCAGCGCTGGTGGACTGCCGGATGTTTTTAGTTAAGGACCTAAGACATGGGTCCTAGTACACAACACACAAACAAAAATCATCAAACGTCCTTGTGGAGAGTTAATAAGCAATCAAGGCTTGTCCAAACAGACACATATGGAGAGAGGACAGCGGCAGACGCAACAAACGAAGCGGAAAGAGAAAAATAATCTATTCTTGAATTTAACCGTGACCACCGACTAGGGACAATTCATTACATCATGATTGACGGGGTGGGGAGGCAGTGTGAGTAGAGGGTCGAGGACGTGACGGTGAATCCCCGACATGCCCGTTGCGTGCAAAGTCACCCGCCGGCAGCAAACGTAAATGAGTCAAGATTAAATGAGGCCACCCGTCTCCGGCTGGGCTCAGTGGCCTGCCACGCTCGCGAGCCATCGTCGCCGGCCGCCACGAGCCTTTGCCGGTGAGGAGAGGGGCTTCCCGCGGCTGTGGCCAGCGCCACCGCTCGATGACCTGGGGAGATGTGCGCGACTGTGCCGTCTCGAACCGTCGACCGGCATGTCCGCGTGCGGTTGGGGCGTTTGGAAGCGCGGGCAACTCCCGGCTCTTCCGTAGAAGCCCGGGCAACTCGGAGGAGTAGGCCCAAGATATCCTCTCGTGGGTTGGGGTTCTCTAGATTTCACTATAGTGGAGCTTGGCGTGGGCATTCAGTTGCGGGGTCTGCGCCTTTAGTTGCGACGCAATTTTGCCGTATGGCTTTCGTTCACGTGACGCGGTTGTTGTTGTTTTTTTTTGGTTGATGCAATCCGCAGGGGGGCCCACGGAACCTCCTCAAGTGCGCTACCGCTCGACCGTATCACCACCCCGCGGGAGGCGGGCAGGGAGGGTTGCGAAAACATTACGCGTGGAAATTCCACGGAGTCAATCGAAACTCACTTGGCCGAAATTAATTGCGCTTTTGGAGAAAATCTCACACGTCGCCTTGTTAGCGAAAATCCATAGCCAGCGGGCCATGCTCCGGCCTCGTGAGATTGCCTGCCCAGGAGTCATGGGGACGGTGGCACAGATGCATCTCACCGTGGAGACCTGATCACTTCGGTCATTAGCAGCGATCAGCCCCGACGATGCAATGGCAATTTGGATTTATACGCTGTCTTAAGTGCGGAGACCGCGGCTCAAGACATCATGCCGAAAAACTGGGAACGTTGGGGTGCCCTCTGTTGTGGTCACCTGTTCGTCGGCCCTTGCACTGCCCCTGCCATCTAAATGGCTCGATTTTGTGAGCGCTTTTTAAGCAATGTTCAGCGACTTGAGCGAAGGAGCTCTTTGAATATCAAACAAATAAATAAGATAACGGAGTTGCAGCCGGGCAATGGAACGCGTCCGAGATGACGTCCGCCTAGAGAGATGGAGCAATGAAATCAGTTGGTCTGCAGGTGCCGGGTGGGATCGTGAGGAGTGGCCTGGAGATGCCTTGATCCAGTAGCGGCTTAACCATGGCTGATGATGATTATTTGATCAAATAAATTGTCATTCACCCGTCGGTCAATCAGCGTGTCTACCGAGTGATTACAACCGCCCCCGTTGACTCTGTTAAACGTTTTTGTCTGCTCTCCAGATCAGGTTATGGCCTCTGTCAAAACAAACTTTGCATCCTGTAAAGGTGACTCCCTGTTGTTTTTCTTTCGCGGTGAATTGTTGATCCTTGTACTCCTCTGTAGATCTTCAGTTATAAGTGGCAGGACAAACGTCCTTCAATAAATCGATAGCGTTTTACCAGTCTCCGTAAAGGAGGACACAGCTGCCCCGATAATCCAATCCTTCCACTGGTTTCCAATCCACACGATCCAATACCAGATCGATATTCAACATCTTCCACACTGCCTACCTCTCACCCCACTTACTACCTCGCACCCCACTCACTACCTCACACCCCACTCACCCCTCTCACTACCACTCACTACCACTCACTACCACTCACTACCACTCACTCTAACTACCACTCACTACCACTCACTCTAACTAGCACTCACTGCCACTCACTACCTCTCACTACCACTCACTGCCACTCACTACCACTACCACTCACTACCACTCACTACCTCTCACCCCACTCACTACCACTCACTACCACTCATTACCTCTCACTACCACTCACTACCACTCACTACCTCTCACTACCACTACCACTCACTACCACTCACTACCTCTCACTACCACTCACTACCACTCACTACCTCGCACCCCACTCACCCCTCTCACTACCACTCACTACCACTCACTCTACTACCACTCACTCTCACTACCACTCACTACCACTCACTACCTCTCACTACTTCTCACTACCACTCACTACCACTCACTATCACTACCACTCACTACCACTACCACTTACTACCACTCACTACCTCTCACCCCACTCACTACCACTCATTACCACTCACTACCACTACCACTCACTACCACTCACTACCACGCACTACCACTCACTACCACTCACTACCACTACCACTCACTCTCACTACCACTCACTACCTCTCACTACCACTCACTACCACTCACTACCACTACCACTCACTTTCACTACCACTCACTACCACTCACTACCACTCACTACCACTCACTACCACTACCACTCACTACCACTCACTACCACTCACTACCACTACCACTCACTACCACTCACTACCATTCGCTCCACAAAGGTTTCTGTCAAAGCCCCATGTCAACCTTCGCTCAGTGGGAGGTTGCTCAACTCTCCTCTTCTGCCCCCAGCGTCTGGAACTCCCCCTCAGTCACCGATGGCTGCCTTCTCCCTGCTCCTGTTCTAGTCCAGGCTCAAGATCTTCCTCTTCTCCTCTATGACCGGCTGCCTTTCTCTACACCTGGTGAGTTCTTCACCTTGAGATGCCCTTTCTCAGCAGTGCGAGACATGGCCGGATTTCGATTTAAAGCTTTCGTGACTGCAGGGATTCATCTTCTTGGTTCTTTCGGTAAAGTCACGTAGAATGGAAACAAAATAATAAAAATAAAACATAAAAAAACAAAAGGGGAATTTTATTATTTATTTTATTGTGTTTTATTTTTATTATTTTATTTCCATTCTACGTGACTTTACTGACAGAATCAAGAAGATGGCCGGATTTATTTCGAAAGGAAAGTCCTAGAAAACACAAATTAATCACGGTCATGTAAGTACAACTACTTTGTTTCATCGAACCACTATGTATATATTAAAATCGTATTTTCTTTTTTTACGATTGTGAACCAAAGGGGTGCAAGGCCTCAGTAGAAATAAAGAATCACTGCTCTAGCTTATAACTATGCTCACTGTTTATGTGCAGCGTCTTCATATGCAGTTGCAATTAGACACCCACAATGCAGTGCGTTGGCTCACGCAGAGAACCGCAGGTTGACATAGAGTTCCACAGGCTCACACAGAGACCCATATACTCGCATAGAGACCCACAGACTCTCATAGAGACCTACGACTGACTGCCTTGTTCTCTATAACACAACTATGCCCACTGTCTGGATATGCGGTTGCACTCAGAAACTCCAGAAAACGAGCATCGGATCGTATTGCTGTTTGGGTGGATCCGCCTGTGCGATGGGTTTTTTCTGACGCCAGACTTTTTTCTTAAATATCCCCCCCCCCCCCAAGCCCAACCCCCCAGCAGCAAACCCTGGACCGGTTTCAACTTGGCGCGGGGTCACCGCGGCTTGACCTTGCGCAAGACTCGGCGAGTCGAGAGCGAGGTTTTCGTCTCAGCTCTGACCGGAAGTCATTAAGCGACATTAGAGCTCCGAGCCATGGGGGAGCAGGGTTTTTGGCGGGGGGGGCAGGCAGGCGGGCTGTGAAGGGGTGGTGGGAGTCGTCTCTGTATCCACTCGCCATTCAAAGTGTCCCGACTCTTCTCTCCGCTAATCTCTTATCTGCGGCGTTCCAGCTCCTCCGAAATAATTGGAACATTGGCCACGGTTTTGGAATCCCACCGCTGAGCTGAGCGGCGGCGGTGGTGCAACACCGCGGGCGTGTGCGTGCGTGTGTGTGCCAGTGTGTCGGTGACGCAGCGGTTCGCGCGCTGTGCTACGAGCTCGGCGGCCCGAGTTCGATTCCGGCGCCCCGGCCAACGCCGGTGATCCAGTCCTGGGCCTTCCCGCGGTCGATGTGCAAACATCACCACTGGGGGAGAAAAAGGCGGCCGGTGTGTGGGCGATAGCCACACCCCCACCGCCTTGTGCGCCGCGTTGGCCTTCATATTTGCTCGCTCACGGCACTTGCCCCAATCGTCTGTTAAAGGCTATACGTGGTGGGGGGGAGGGGGGGGGTGAGTTGTGGGGGGTGATCTTTGCGGTGAGTGGGAGGGCTGGGAGAAGGACGAGTGAGCAGAGGGGTTGGGGATGTCATGCGATGGAGGAGGCACGGGCGTAGGGTGGTCGAGGGATTTTAGAAACTCGCACCTCTGTCACGACTGCCGTGCCGCGAGATACAACTGCGCTGGCCAACCTCTGGATTGCGCAAGCCCAGCGTCGTCTCGTTGTCTTCGCCGACAAGACCGGCGTGTCAGATTTTATGGAAGAGCGCAGTTCATGTTGGCAAAGTGAGTTTCGATGTGGAATTTCCATCGCATGATGTTTTCGCCAGCCTCCCTCCCTCTCACGCGGGTGGTGACACGGCCGAGCGGTAGCACATTTGCGGAGGTTCGTGGTGCGGTTCCGTGGGCCGCCCTGGTTAATGCTACGGGTTGCGTCAACCCAAGGCAACGTCACGTGAACGCAAGCCGCGAGGCAAAATTGTATCGTGTAGCATCCCACATTAAATGTGAATGCCGCAGGTAAAGGTGCAGCCTTGCAATTGCACGCACACTGCACTGCAGATATGCGCAAATGTACGTACATACGTACGTTGAACTTCTTTCGCACCGTACGTAGCTCATCGGAGGTGCGGCAATCATACATTGCAGTTATAAATCACTGGAGCAATGGAATGTAGATACTGATGACCAATTAGCCTAGTCTCGCGTAATGCAGATACACATTACCAATTGCTTTGAGGTGTGTAATTTAGATATCAATTACGCATTACACATGTAATGAAATTACATATCTAAATTACCGTACATGTCATTTGTATATTGCCCGCCAATGCTTATGGGCATGTGGTGGCGTAGCGTTGGTTGGCATTGTTTCCGGTGTAATGAGTCGAATGTGAGTGTTGGCCACGCTCACTCAAGCCTTGCACTCCTTTCTTCTATCTCCCACTCACTCAGCACTCAATCATCTCGGCGCTTGCTCACTCCTCACTGCTACATCCGATCGACCTGCCCCGCCAGTCTCTCCACCCACCCGTCACAGTCTCGCCCAGTGTGCTCTCGTTGCCGAGTTCCATGTGTGCGTACGTGCGTACGTGCGTACGTGCGTGTGTCCTGTTTTTAAAAAAAAAAATCTCTTGAGAGTCGTCCGTGTGTATGTGTTTGTGCGGAGAGGTAGCGCTGCAGTTAGCACGCTGCGCTACGAACCCGGTGACCCGAGTTCAATTCCTGCTCACGACCAACACCAGTGACGATCATCTGAACCGGTCATGCGTCTCCCCTAGGTCGGCTTAAACGGGTATCTGGTGCGGCGTGCAAACATCGTCACTCGGGAGACAAAGGTGGCCGGGCATGGTGCCGGCCACCCACCCCCTCATGTGTCGTGCCGGCCTTCATAGGTGCTACTCACTAACAGCACTTGCCTCCAAACTTGATTCAGGCTATACAGGGGACCTTGGTCTTTGTCTTTCTCTCTGCTTGTGCTGTCCGCCCTGCAGAGCCGGAGGTGAAGAGAGCCGAGCAGTTTGTGGAGATCTCCTCGCCCTTCCTGGACCAGCGGCTGAGTTGCATCCCCTCCGCTCCAGGCTTGTAAGTCTGTGTGTACACACACGCACAAGTGTATGCATGTGTACGCGTCTGAGTACCTGGCGTCGTGTGTAAAAATCAGGACTGGGGAGACAAAGGCGGCCGGGCATGGTGCAACTGGCCACCCACCCCCGCGCGTGCCGTGCCGGTCTTCACAGGTGCTCGCTAACAGCACTTGTCCCATCAGCCTGTTAAGGCTATAAAGGGATCTTTGTCTTTGTGTGCGTGTGTGTGCGATGTCTCGGGTGCGCATTGTAATGTTATTGTGCGAGAGGACATATGTGTGTATGTGTGGAATGCGTTTATATACTAGGATTTTACCCTCTCCATAGCTTCACGTTTAAAATTCTACTTTAATTATGCATATTTACAATCGTTACAACGATTACATTTAGCGCGCAAGCAATGGAAGTCATTCCCTTTTCACAGATGTAAATCGTAAAAATGCATATACGCGAAATCAAATACGAAAGTGACCTGAAAATCCCAAGCAACTGAAGAAATTTAATCTAAAACGCATTTTTAGCTTTACTGTGCCATGGTGTATCAAGGCATCTTATACACACGGTGCAGAGGAGGAGTTTTGACTGTAGAATATTAGTATTCACAGCGGCACGCTAGCTGAAATATTTATACGTATCGTCACACCTAGTGCATAGTAGGGTCTGACGCCGTGTCCCCATGACCACTGGAAAGCATGCTGAGGCGGTTTTACGATTGGGTCGCCTGGTCCCAGATTCCCAGGGTTAGTCTTACTCGGCGCCGGGGTCTGTGTCAGGTAAATTACTTTTCACCCGAATATTCGTTCGGTCTGAGAAAGCCGATGTTTGGGGACATTGCGTCAAACCAGGACTAACCAGAGGGCGGTTCGTGGGAGGGTCCTTGCCGATGAACCCGTGGCAGTTCACCAGCATTGGTTCAGACGAGCGTGACTCTGCTGCTGATGAGACACTTTAATGTCAAAACCGGCCCAGAGTTTTGCCTGTGTTGAGCTAATGCTGTTGAAACTTATGCAGTACCACAAGTTTCGATTTAAAGCTTTCGTGACTGCAAGGATTAATCTTCTTTGGTTCTTTCGGTAAAGTCACGTAGAATGAGAATAAAATAATAAATTGATAAAATAAAATAACACAATTAATTGTATTTTACGATGACCTTCAGACTGCAGCTCTTTCGCTGGCATTGACTCTTAATACCTCTCACACCACGGTTAATGGTATGGTTTACAACATGGAGTATAACAGCGCCTCGCAGCTGTCTCTCTCCCCCTCCTCTGTTCCGAGTTATTTCAATGCTAAATTCTCCTAGCTATTTCAATGCTAAATTCTCCTGTTTGATTTGTACTAGGTGCCTCTGTGAATGTGTATGCTCTGACTTTAACATAGCTATTTCTGTGACCAGTCACAAGCTAATCACTCAGCTATTTCAATGCTAAATTCTATGCTAATTCCTTTGTCAAGGGGTGCCTCTGTGGATGTGTATGCTTTAACTTTAACATAGCCATTTCTGTGACCAGTCACAAGCTAATCACTCAGCTATTTCAATGCTAAATTCTATGCTAATTCCTTTGTCAAGGCACTTTGTTTCTTCTCACACAGCTTAAAGGTCGCGATCTGAGCGTGGCTTTTTCGCGCCAGCGCTGTCCTACCAGACAGTCTCGCCCCTTCACCTGATGAAGGCCGCTTGTGTTGTGGCTGAAACGTCGTGAGAATTTTATTGTGTTATTTTATTCTCATTATACGTGACTTTACCGAAAGAACCAAAGAAGACAGTACCACAAGGTCGAGTAGATGATGGCATGTAAAAAAGAAAAAAAACATTTTAACTTAAATTTGCAAACATTTTTTATGTGGGGTAATAGATGTGGGAAGGGGACATTTTGTGTGGCTAGTTATTTGGTGTCTGGTATATGGCTTCCCCTTCTGAATATTCATTGCCACTTATTTCTTTTTTTCGGGAACAAAGTCATCTTTCTTTCCACACAGACCAGCGAACGACGCGACACTGCGTCGGCAGTTGTGCTCTGAGCTCAAAGCAAGACAAGCTCAAATGCAATCTTCAATAGCTCTAAAAAGGGAAATATATATGTGATTGGTGACATTCAGGGCAATGACAAGCGTGGAGAAGTATCCGTAACAAAGGTGTTTTGAGGTAAGATCGTGTAAATATAAATACGTCGTTAAACCCGCCACCAACCGACACAGCCAATTGGTAAGGTTTGTCACGTGAACAAAATGTGCCAATTAGTTACTACTCCAACACACTGTGGTTGTGTGTTGGAGAGTAAACCCACGGCGTTTACAATTCGAGTACGACGTTTCGCTGGTGATTACATCCAGCCTCATCAGGCAATTAGCCCGAATTGGATGAACAATTAGCCCGAATTGGACGAGCAATTTTGTTTACATGACAAAGCTGAACCCTTTGGGTGTGTTGGGTGGTTGCGGTTTTAACGACACATTTATATTAATGTGACCTAACCCAAACAACAAACTTTATCACGGATATTGGTCGCGAAAGCCCTACTACGTGTGGAGTGTGGTCAAGCAACACCCATGACCAGGAGCCGGATCTAACCGGCTCGGCATCCCAGAAGATATTTCCGCACCCGGCACACCACATCCATCATTTTCCTCGGTTTGGCTGCGTGGCTCCTACTCATCACGTGCCAAAATCTACTTCAGTCTGGCGAGCGACCTGGACATTTTTTTCGTCAGCGGGAAATTAAGCCGCGCGCTTAATGTAACGTCGCGTGATATATTGTCCAATTTTGTTGGCAATCTGCTACGGGGGAGGTAGGCAGCCGGCTGCGGCCTATCGGGGAGACCACGCAGCCCAGCTCTCACCTTCGCTGAGCTGCACAGCGACCACGGAAGGTCACATTTACAACCATTTCATCTGCTCGCTCACTCTTCCTCGCTCCCGCTCTCTCTCTCTCTGTGTCTCTCTGTGTCTCTCTCTCGCGCTCTCCCGCTCTCTCTCTGTGTCTCTCTCTCTCGCTCTCTTCCGCTCTCCACTCAGTCCATCACTCGCTCGCCGGCCACATTAAACGCCACGTGGCTAATGTGCGGCAGAGCCCCCGAGCTCTCCCGGGAAATGGGGGCCTGATTTATTTAGCTTTGCCGTTTGTTGTTATTTAGCCTCTTTTGACAACACAATCACCCAGCCCCGCTCCTCAAAGCCGCGTAAATCACTGCTGCCTTTCCAGCGCGGTCTTTTCCTCACTTGGCCGCGTGCGTGTGTGCGTGGACGTGCCTGCGTAACCGGGAGCGGTAGCATAGGGTTTAGCGCGCTGCGCTACGAACCTGGCGACCCGGGTTAGATTCCCGCTCACGGCCAATACCAGTGACGATTATCTGAACCGGTTCTGGGCCTCCTCTAGGTCGACTCGGCCTCAAATGAGTACCAGGTGTGATGTGTAAACATCGCCACGGGGGAGACAAAGGCGACCGGGCGTGATGTTGGCCACCCACCCCCTCGTGTGCTCTGCCAGCCATCATAGGTGCTCACTAAGAGCACTTGCCCTTACAGTCTATTAAGGCTACACGGGGGATCTTTGTCTTTGTGTGTGGACTTGTGCGTGTGTGGACGTGTGTGTGTGTAATGGGGTGGGGGGGGTGCCACGATTACTGTGGAAGAGATGATCCAGTAGGAACGAAACTTTGGTACAAAGTTGCATTGCTCTCAGGGACATACCCTCGAGAAAATCGAACAAGTTGATTCCAGACAAAAAACTACTTGGGAGATGCACAGCAGAGAAAAACATAATAATACTATTTTCAAATATGCAAATGAAAATTGAGCTGACAAGCTACCCGTCGGCTTTCGCACTGTTAATTAAATACGTCCGAGAAACCATCTCATGTTGGAAAGCGTTACGTAATCCAATTGCATGCATGCTATTTGGAATGGGTTTATATATATTTTAACGAAATGCCACATGATTGCGCTATGAGCGTTGCGTCACCAGACGAACAATCCGTTCAGATCGCTCGCGGAGCAGCACGACCCTTCGTGTTAGAGAACGGCCCACAGAAGTGGATATCACAGACCTACCTCTGAAGATCCCTTCGAGTGACATCTGGTCCACGCGCAGTAGAGGGCAGGACCTTCCCACCCACTCACTTAATAATTCTCAGAGCTGGAACTCGGCCGAATTAAGTGCAGAACCAGATTTGATTTGGTCGTCGTTGACCGAACTTAGACCATCAACTCACTCCACTCAAGAAAGCCGCTTCAATCACAGATATCTTCCAGGATTCGAACCCAGGGCCTCAGACATGATACCAACAGCACGATCACAATACAATTGGATGAAAAAAATGCAATTTAAAAGGAAACCAAAATATATATATATCTGACGGGTGTGTTGTACCGCCAGCAATCACGATGTTCCGAACATTATCTTCGAGTTGGTGGGCGAAAGTCACTGAGCTGCAAGGCGAGGGGTTCCGTGGAGATCCGATGACACCTCCTGAAAGTCCCCGCGCCACCTCAGACCGCCTATACACGTCGCCCTGCTGTGGTCTTAATCAACATCCAGGAGACACTGGGATCACAGCCACGACCGTTCATCACAGCCCGGGGGCTGTCACACCGAGCCAGTTTTCAATCGCAGTTGTGCAGCTTGAGAACCCGGATTGAAAACCAGGATGTTAGCGGTGCCAGCTCAGCTCTCTGACCTCTGAGCCACCCGGCCTCCTCCCCACGCCAAGGCTCTTAACGTACGTTTATAAGACGATTTATGATTTCCTTTGCGCGTGTCGGCTGTGTGGTCGATTGCTCGCCCGTACCCCGTGCGTGCGTGCGCGTGTGGCTGCACGCCTGGCTTTGCTCGAGGATGTATCACCTCTCCAACTCAATCCTTTCAAATCCCTCGCGACTCGTTTCCATGAATACTGGGAAGCGGACTCCGCTGGCCACGGGATGGCCCAGTTCTGGCCCAGTTCTGGCCCAGTTCTGGCCCAGTTCTGGCCCAGTTCTGGCCCAGTTCCCTCTCCCTC